GTAAAACTCTGGTCCACTGCTTAGAAATTAGTGTTTTATGACCTCCCCTCTGCCAGGGAAATAAGCATGAAGACAGCGCTTTTCCTCCCACTATTTTTAAAACTCAGATGAGGAGGTGTTCTATTGCTCCACCTGGTGCGCTTTTGAACTGAGAGGGACTGAGCACGGAGAAGCCAGAGTAGCACTGCCCCCACCCCGGGCCACCTGAAACTCATCATGCTGCTTTCTTTGGAGCGGCTGCCAATTTAAAAGAAGACTTAAGGGGTTTCATTTGGCTCTGTGATTCTGCTGGAAGGAGGCCTGAGTAAGGTTGAGCTGAGGTTGCAGAGGAAAGGAGCCGTTTGTCCCACAACCTGAACAAAACAGAACTATGATGAAGCAGCATTGTCCATCTGAGGTAATACCCAAGGTACATTGCCTCATGTCAAGAAAATCAAGGACGTGAATACACATGGAGTGAGGTTAAGAATGGAGGTTTTACAGGCAAAAGAAGAAAAGAGAACATCTCTCTCTTCTGCAGAGAGAGAGAGGGGCTTCTGAGTGTGTTTTCTGGTTTTCTGGTGAACTGCACAAGGTTTTATAGACTTGTTGAGGAGGTGGTGTTTGATTTACATAGTGTCCAAATATGGGTTGGACCAGGTGAGAGCTTTACATAGCTCGTGAAGAAGCTGGCTATCCACCCGAATCTTCTTATGCATATAGGTTTTCTACTTGGCCAGTGCATGTTGTCTGTCCCTTACTGCACTTGTGGTTGATAAAGAAAAAGGAAGATAAAGCCGTCAGGTTGAGCATGCCTGGCACCCAAGTAGCCTCCTATTGTTACAGCTGCTGGCATTCGCCTGTGCAAGCTTCCAGCTTGCTTGTCTATATCTGCAGCTCGATTTTACAGGCCGCTCTTTGTTAGAAATAGTTTTGGGGCTGCTTTTTATTCAAAGGGAAACCTTACCAAAGACTTCCTTACTTTCAATCTCTGACGAAATAATTTCTTTAGAACTCCTGTATCAATGGGACTTCTGGATTACAGTTGAAGTAGTTTTGGTTGATCATCAACTCTGCCTCCACTTAATAGTGAATGCTTTTATTTTCTATGTTTCAAGGAGGGACTCTTTGCTTCTTGCCCTTCTTCAGAATAGCAGTGTGGAAATTGCATTTAAGAACACCTGTTGGGCACAGTGGCTCACACCTGTAATCCTAGAAATTTAGGAGGCTAATATGGGAAAATTGCTTCAGGCCAGGAATTTGAGAGCAGTCTGGGCAACATAGCGGTACCCCATCTCTCAAAAAAAAAATTACTGGGTGTGGGGATGCATACCTGCTGCCCTGTTGGCCCAGCTTCTGTCAGGAGGCCATGGCAGAAAGGTCACTTGAGCTCAGGGGTTTGGGGCTGCAGTGAGCTATGGTCATGCCACTGTACTCCAGCCTGGGTGACTCCATCTCTTGAAAAACACAACAAAAACCAACAAAAGCCCACTTTCTATCTGGAATGGGAACCGGTAGAGCCTTATGACAGTGAGTGACTCAGGCAGAGCAAACGTTTGGCCACAGTTTTAATGGTGCAATTTGAACCTTGTGTTTGTCCTACTGACCAAGACTGTGGCTGTCTTAGGGTCCTCCATATGATCTGGCCTTGGAGGAGAAGAAACTGTTCTTGTTCAACACTTTCTGTTTGTGGAGCCCAAGATAAGAACTTTATGTTTGTTTCACAGATGAGAGGGTGCTAAATAGCTTGCTTAGAATCACACAAGTCAGAGGTAGGAGGGCCACGTTCTTTAACCAGTTTGTGAGTAGATGTCTTCCCAAGAACGTACAGCTGATGGCATAATGCTGACCTTAAGCCTAGGTTAATCAAATTGATGTTTAATGAAAAGCAATAGATTTCATCCTGTGGCCCAAGAAAGAGCCACTTGACTACAGCTAATCGGTGAGAGAAATACCTCTATCAAAGGAATAGGTGATCAGAATTCATGGGCAGCAATGGGACATAAGAATGTGGAAATGAGAGGTGTGGGCTCCAGGGATGCTGGAGAAAACTCCTCCTCCAGTATTCCCTAACTCTCGAATGCTGCTGCTTTTAAATACAAATATAAACCCACTCTGTTGTTTTGCACTGCCCCGTGCCCTGAATCTCTTGTTTGTGGACTGTATCCTCCAGTAACTTATTCAAGCAAGGATACACTGAAGCAAATTGTTCTGAAATATGACTTTATTTCTTCTTACACTTACATGACTGGTGGGGCATAGAATTTTTGATTGAAAATAATTTCCCATTCAAGTTTTAAAGATACTACTCCATTATTTCCCAGCTTCTGGTAGTGCTGTTGAGAAGCCTGAAATCATTCTGATTTTTGATTCTTTGTAAATACTGTTTTTTAAAAAACTTTTCTGAAAACTTAGGAGAGCTGTTTTCCTTTGTCATATATTGCAGATTTTCAAGACAATGTTCCTTGGTGTGAGTTTGTGTTCATGTGTTTAAACCTAGGAGGTTATGTTATTCAACTTGAGAAGTTGCCTTTTTTTTTTAACTTTTATTTAAGTTCAAAGGTTCAAGCACAGGTTTGTTATTTAGGTAAAGTCTGTCATGAGGTTTGTTGTACAGATCATTTCATTACTCCGGTATTAAGCCTAGTCCCATTTAGTTGTTTTTCCTGATCTTCCTCCTTCTCTCATTCTCCACTCTCTGAAAGGCTCTAGTGTGTGTTGTTCTTCCGCCTGTTGTATGTTCCTGTGTTCTCCTCATTTAGCTCCCACTTGCAAGTGAAAATATCTGGTATTTGGATTTTGTGTTCCTGCATTAGTTTGCTAAGAATAATAGTCTCCAGCTTCATCTATGTCCCTGAAGAGAACATGATCGCATTCTTTTGTGGCTGCCTAGTGTTTTTTGTTGTATATGTACCACATTTTCTTTATCCAGTCTACCATTGATGGGCATTTAGCTTGATTCCATATTTTTGCTATTGTGAACAGTGCTGCCATGGACATATGCGTGCACATGTCTCTATAACAGAAGGATTTATATTCCCTTGGGTACATACCTAGTAACCCATTACTAGGTTTGCTGAATCAAATGGTATTTTACTCTTTAGGTCTTTGAGGAATCATGACACTTTTTCACAATGGCAGAACTAATTTGCATTCCCGAATACAGTGTGTAAGTGTTGTTTTTCTCTCTAACCTTTCCAGTATGTGTTTTTTTTTTTTTTTTGCTTTAATAATTGCCATTATGACTGGTGTGAGATGGTATCTTATTATAATTTTCAGTTGCATTTCTCTAATAATCAGTGACGTTGAGCTTTTTTAATATGATTGCTTGTCGCATATATGTCTTGTTTTAAAAGTGTCTGTTTATGTTCTTTGCCCACCTTTTTATGGGTTGTTTGTTTTTCTCTTGTAAATTTAATTTCCCTACCGATGTTTGATATTAGATTTTTGTGGAATGCATAGTTTACAAACATTTTCTCACATTCTGTAGGTTGTCAGTTTTCTCTGTTGATAGTTTATTTTGCTGTGTGAAAGTTTCTCATTTTAATTTGACCCCAGTTTTCAATTTTGCTTTTGTTACCTTTTCTTTTGGCATGTTCATGATGAAATCTTTGCCTGTGCTTATGTTTTGAATGGCATTGTCTCGTGTCTTGCAGAGCTTTTATAGTTTTTGGTTTTACATATCAGTGTTTAATCTATCATGAGCAAATTTTTGTATGTAATGTAAAGAAGGGGTCTAGTTTCAGTCTTTTGCATATGGCTATCCAGTTATCCTGGCATCGTTTATTGAATAGGGAGAATCTTTTCCCCCTTGCTTGTTTTTATTAAGTTTGCCAAAGATCAGATAGTTGTAGAAGCTTGGTTTTGTTTCTGGATTCTCTATTCTGTTCCATTAGTCTATGTGTTTGTTTTTGTACCAGTACTATGCCGTTGTTTCCTGTAGCCCTGTAATGCAGTTTGAAATCCTGTAGCATGTCGCTTCCAGCTTTGCTCTTCGTGCTTAGGATTGCCTTGGCGGTTTTTGGTTCCACATAAATTTTTCAAAAGCTGGTTTTCTGAAAAAAATAATAAAACTCAACCTACTTCTTAACATTTTTCAAGAACCCAAATGAAATCATGACTGCTCTTGGAGATGGCACTCTGTATGTTTCAATTTACTACCCAGTAACTGGTCTATTAAAATCATACTGGTTAAAAAATAATAAACTTGAAGCTAGACCAATGAAGGAGAAAGGGAAGAGATTCAAATAACCACCATCAAAAACAATAAGGGCAATATTACCACTGACCCCACAGAAATACAAACCACCCTCAGAGAATATTATGTACAACTGTAGGCACTATTTTTTCTTTAATTTTGAGATGAAGTTTTGTGCTTGTTGCTCAGGCTGGAGGGCAATGGTGAGATCTCGGCTTAGTGCAACCTCTGCCTCCTGAGTTCAAGCTATTCTCCTGCCTCAGCTTCCTGAGTAGCTGGGATGACATGCATGTGCCACCATGTCTGGTTAATTGTGTATTTTTAGTAGACATGGGGTTTCTCCATGTTGATCCATCTTGTCTTGAACTCCCAATCTCAGGTGATCAACCCACCTTGACCTCCCAAAGTTCTGGGATTGCAGATGTGAGCCACTGAACCTGAAAAAATTGAGAAATCTAGAAGAAACTGATAAATTCCTGGTCACAACCACGCTCCCTGAGATGCAAGTTTGGTTTAACATATGCAAATTGATAAATGTCATCGTCACATAAACAGAACTAAAGAAAAAAATTACCCACATGATTATCTCAATGGATGCAAAAACAGCTTTTGATAAAATTCAACTTTCATGTGTGTTAAAAACTCTCAATAAACCAGGTATTGAAGGAACATACCTCAAAATAATAAGAGCCACATGTGACAAAACCACAGCCAGCATCATACTGAATGGACAAAAGCTGAAAGCATTCCCCTTAAAAATTGGCACAAGATAGAGATGCCCTCTCTCCCCACTCCCATCCGCATAGCTTTGAGGGTGTTCTTTGCTCTTGGGTTTCTAATTCTTTTAATTGTGATGTTGGGTAGTTAACTTGAGATCTCAATTTTGTTTTTGAGATGGAGTGTTGTTCTCTCAACCAGGCTGGAGTGCAGTGGTGTGATATGGGCTCACTGCAACATTTATCTCCTGGGTTCAAGCAGTTCTCCTGCCTCAGCCTCCTGAGTACCTGGGATTACAGGTATGTGCCACAACACCAGCTAATTTTTGTATTTTGAGTAGAATGGGGTTTCACCATGTTGGTCAGGCTGGTCTCAAACTCCTGACCTTGTAATCTGCCCGCCTTGGCCTCCAAAAGTGCTGAGATTACAAGAGTGAGTCACCGCAGCTGTCCCGAGTTCTCACTTCTCGATGTGAGCATTTAGTACTATAAATTTCTCTCAACACTACTTGACTAGCTGCATCCCAGAAACTCTGGTAAGTTGTACCTTTGTTCTCATTACTTTCAAAGAACTTCTTAAACTTCTTGATTTCTGCCTTCATGTCATTATTTACCCAGGAGTCATTCAGGAGCAAGTTACTCAGTTTCCATGTAAGTGTATGGTTTTGAATGAATTTCTTAGTCCTGATTTCAAATGTGATTGCATCTGCTTTGTGACCTAAGGTATCTTCTATACTTATGAATGATCTATGTGTTGAGTTGAAAAAATGTGTATTCTGCAGTCATTGGATGAAATGTTCCTTGAATATCAGTTTCATTTTGTCTGTAGTAAAGATTAAATTTCATGTTGATTGGTTGGTTTTCTGTCTGGAAGATCTGTCCAGTGCTGAAAGTTGGATGTTGTAGTCTCCAGCAATTACTGTGTTAGGGTTTATCTCTCTCTTTCTTATTTGCTGCGTGTGTCTGTTCTTTTTTCTCTCTCTCTCTGTCTGTCTCTATTTCTATCTTTGGAATTCTGATCATTTTAGTGTTGAACCTGTTCAAATTTTCTTCCGGATTTCAACTTTTTTCTTATCGTTATTTCTGGAAGACATAAGGTTCATCTACTCAACTTTGTTGTCTTACTATTCTAACAAGAATTTTTCACAAGTTCTGCTGTCATATTTTTAATTTCTAAGCGTTTACTTTTTCTTTAAATTTGGTTCTTGTTTCATGAAAATGGTAACACTTTTATCTCTTCGAGAACATTCATATGGGTTTCAGAAGGTCTTACCTCCTAGCACAGTCCTCATTCAGGCTGCATTTATGTGTCTTGTTGCTCTGGTCTCGGCCATTCATGTTAGAAGCTTTGCTCAGATGCCTGGTGAACCTTAGCTGTCTGTGTCTGTTAGAAAAAAATGGAGCACTGAAAAGCTAAAAGCTGATGGAAGTTCTGTGATTGTAACATTTTGTGGGCGGTGGTCTTGCTGGGTCAGACCTTTTCTTCTTGAGCAAGAGAGATTCTCTCTAGAGAAAAATCATCTTAACTTCTGACCAAGTGTATCGGCCACCCTCATTGGAACTCAGTGATAGGAAAACCTGGAGGATCTCAGTGTTCAGTGTGTACATTTAAGCACTTGTGTCTAGAGAGCTCCTGCCTAGAGACACCAAATTTTACTGTATAGAGAGGAAACCTCCACCCTGCCACCACCGTGAGATGCAGTCACCGATTCTAGGGAGAGGATCTGGGATCTAGCTACTACTGAAACATAAATTCCCTAGGTAAATTTAGCTGCCAACTCTTGAACCCTTGGGGATTCTGGTTGCCTTCCTGCCACTGGCTTGGGATTTAGCATCTCTGGGTCTACTGTCAGGTGTCACAGACAGCTTCTGCTTGCCAGTTTTCTATATGCTGAAGGGATTGTCTTTATTTTCTTTTTATCTTTGTTGGTTTATTTATTTTTAATCATCCCGTGTTAATGTGGTTTAATGATGGAGTGAAGGCATATGCAGGTATTCAACCAAACATCTTAGCTGAAGTCTGTGTAATTCTCTTGTAGTAAAATCTTGATCATTCTATGTTTCAGTTAATCAAATTTTTATATATGCATTCTGATTTGGGGATGATGTGAGGGAAGAGAGAGAGAAAGAAAGAGAGACTCAGACGGACAGAGACAGGGTGAGAGAGAGAGGCTACTGTGACAAATCTGTGGGTCTGTGTATTTGGAAGTCAATAGGAATTTAGCCCTGTTTTCTGTCTAAAAAGCAGGAGTGTCCAGACAATGGATCTGGAACTAGGCTAAGAATCTTTGAGGCAATGGCGCAGATCCAGTTGTGTTCAATTTTTAGTCCTTAGGCTGAAAGGGAAAATAACGTAAAACACATTTTAAAAAATTTCTGGCTGGGTGCGGTGGCTCAAGCCTGTAATCCCAGCACTTTGGGAGGCCGAGGTGGGTGGATCACAAGATCAAGAGATCGAGACCATCCTGGTCAACATTGTGAAACCCTGTCTCTGCTAAAAATACAAAAAATTAGCTGGGCATGGTGGTGCGTGCCTGTAATCCCAGCTACTCGGGAGGCTGAGGAAGGAGAATTGCCTGAACCCAAAAGGCGGATGCTGCGGTGAGCCGAGATTGTGCCGTTGCACTTCAGCTTGGGCAACAAGAGCGAAACTTCATTTCTAAAAAAAAAAAAAAATTTTCTGAAAGTGGTGTTTTCTGATTTGCCCTCAGATAATTAGATATAGAAGGTAGCCATACATTTTTGGCTAACTCAGCATTCGTTGCTCCATTCAGCGAATTCATCTTTATATTCATGTTCTTTCTCTCCAGCTTAATATCCAAAATTTAAAAGTGAGGAATGCAGAATAGTTGAACTAAAAGAAACAGATCAACCACAACCTGCCTCTTCTTCCTCTCACCCAAAGAAAACCATTGTTAAGATTTTGCTATATTCTCTTTATGTACTTTTCTCAGGTACTTTTATTCGAATATATTTTTGGTCATAAAATTGTCTTAGACAATAAGTTGTCAGAGAAGAACACCCACTCTTTTTACACTCCAGGCTTCCAGCTTGAAGGTGACTGACTTGGGAATCCTGTATTTTAACAAGATATGATGTTGATATGGAATCTTTTATTTGACTGTTCTGAGGTGTTCTCTTTTTAGCATACTCTCCTTCATCCCCTTCTTCCCTGCTATACACACACATACACATTCACACATACACGCATTCTTTCATTCTCTCTCACATGCACATTCTCATACGCAAACACAAGCATGCTCATACACATGTGCACACACACAGGCACGTGCATGCACACACTCACACTCATATGAACCAACATGCACATACACACTCTCCTTCATCTCTTTCCTCCCTGCTACACACACATACTCTAAGACTCATATGCACATGTGCACACACACATATGTACAACATGCAATGTGTCAGAAGGCCATGTAGAAAATGATTGTTACTCTTCAAAAGGAAGGACACCCACACTTTTGCAATGGAAAAAAACAGCTCTGTTTTTGTAAAAAAAAAAAAAGAAAGAAAAAAAGAATTTTCTATTAGGCCTAGAAAGAAACTTAAAAAGTGTTTCTTCTTTTATCTAATCCGAACTTGTGTATGTGCACACACCCGTGTGATAGAAAGAGCCAGGGATAGAGGGAGGGAGAGGAGGTGAAGGCAAGAAGAGAGAGGGCGATTAAAAAGCAAGTGCACTGTGGCAAGCTCGTCTGGACTAAGTGAGAAGCAGGCGGTTGTGGTGATGAGATAGGAGCTTGGAATGCTTTCTGGTACCAAGACTGTCATAAGTGGAATTGGGGTCTGAAAAAGTGACAGCAAAATTCAGCGTTCCTTTGACAACCACTCAGAAAATAGAATGTGAGGAAGCAGGAGGAAGGGAAGGTGTGGGGCCAGCCATGAGAACGCACCCCGCTGCTCCACGGATGCCTAGAAATGCTGGTCACTTATAGGGCACAGGTGAGGGGAAGTCTGGACTGGTGGCAGTAGTGCTGCCAAGCCATGTAGCCTGCTCTCTCAAGGGTGAATGTTCTTGCATAAGTAGTGGGGAAGATTATTCCCTAGTTCATATAGGCCCTATTTGTCCTAGACACAGATTTTAATGTTCTCAGGTGATCGCTTGCTTGATTGTCTGTGTTAAAGATCAGCAATCCTTTTTTTTTTTTCTGGAAAGGTCTAGGCAGTAAATATTTTAGGCTTGGCAGCCCATATGGTCTCTGTCACCGCTACTTATCTCTGTGGTTGTGGTGTGAAAGCAGCCATAGAAATGGGTAATAAAGGAGTGGGGCTGAGTTCCAAAGTACTTTTATGAGAACTGAAAATTGCATTTTATGTAATTGTTGACATGTCCCAAAATATTGTTACTTTTTTGAATTCTTTCACATTCGTGGCTCATGAGCTGTCTGACAAGAGACGACAGGCAGGAATTGGTGGATGGGCCATGGTTGCGCAAACCCTGTGTCCAAATCATGGCATTGTACAAGCAGGAGGGATCTCTGACCCTCTCTTTGTTTCCTCTTTCCTTCTTTTCAGTTTCTCATTGTGCTGATTTGGAAACCAGAAATCGAAAGCTCTGGGAAGTGAACTCTTTCTGACTTAACCTGTTAGTGGCAGTGTTAGGATAAAATTTCAGGTCTCAAGGAGCACTTCTTAGAGCCCAGATCAGACTGAATGCTGCTTTTGTGATTGCAGAAGGCATACCATCCTCTGGTACACTAGCTCCTTAGCGTCACCCTGAATCTGAAACTTAGTTCTTCATAAAGTCTTTTGTTCTATGATTCCTCAGTGCTAATCAAAAATCATTTGCTAATTTGCGCCAGTTATTCTGTTTATCACAACTGAGATATAGACATAAGCAAAGTTCCTACCCTTTAGGAACTCACTTCTTCAGGGCCTGGTTTTGATAATCCAGACAAAGCTACTTAAATGTAGTTTTATCCTTAAAAGCAAAATCGGCTGTACTTATGTAAGTTACAATAATAATTAGAATTTAGGAAAAATCCATTCTTAAAACAAGAAGGCAAAGAGAATAAAAAATAAACATCCAAGTCACCCTCTGACTGTGCTTTGGTTTTAAAACAACAAGACTAGTCTTTTAAGTGAACACAAGGAAAATTTTGCTACCAAGCGAGTACAATTTCTAACAGGTGATACATCGACTCCTCTGATTCCAGACATTTCCGAAAGTGCCCTTACTACCTACATTACTTCCTTCTGTAAAGCTCTACTGATTAAGACTTTATCTTTTGTGGTTGGATTTTTGCTTTTGGAATTACAACCTGCTTTTCAAGTCACATTTTGTAAATTAGTTGAGGTATCTTGCTGAGTGATAAAGTCTGAGTCAAAAACTTCCTTAAAAGTGCCTCATGAACTCGTGAGGCATCATGGCAAAGATCCCAATTGTTGGACTGAGGCAGAGAGGTAGAAAGAAGAACACAGACTTTAAGGTCTGACAGATGTAAGTATAGGTCCCACCTCCACCACGTATTGGATGTGTAATGTTAAATGAGCTACTATACCTCTTTGAGCCTCAGCTTTCCTCTCTGTAAAAAGAAGATGTTAAACCTTTCCTTGCACTATTGTTGTAGGGATTAGAGATGATGTCAATAAAAATGTTTCCAGCATGCTCGGTATTCAACGTACCTTGGATAGACTTATTTGGCCAGTTCACTGCAAAGGGTAACATACACGAGTAAGATTTTTTCTTTTCTTCAAAATAGACTTTTTGGGATTAAACTCTAAAAAAGTGTTAAATAAATGAATCAAGATATTTTTCATTTCTGTTGTTGAAGTATTTGCCTTCTTACGTTTGGTAATGTTAGGATTTTCCACAGAAGAAGTTGACACTTTCCTTCTTAATCATACTGGCAATACCAGGTTTCAACACTAGTTACTATTTTCTTTTCGAAAAGTGTCATTTGTCTAGCTTCCCTTGAAAGATCAGCTAAATGTCACATTATCCCTGCTTCTGCTAATCTTTCAAAATGCTCACCACCATAGTCATAACATTTTCCTCATGCTCAAGTTTATTTAAAAAATGTTCTAAAGACAGTGTTGCTGAATTTTTATTTGTTTAATAAAAGTTAGGTTTTAAATATACAAATATAGATTTATGATAAAGCCTCTAGAAAGCAAAGAAAAAGAAATTTGAAAAATACCTTGTTTAATCACATAAAGCTAGGCAGAGTTAAATCACTGTTTCCATTTTGGTACATTTTATTTTAATCTTTTCACTATTTTAATGTCCTTCTTTATATCCATAATGGTGATAACATGATGTATATATTATATAAATATATAAAATACATAAATATATCTTTTAAAAATGGTATCTGTAGGCCGGGCGCGGTGGCTCAAGCCTGTAATCCCAGCACTTTGGGAGGCCGAGGCGGGTGGATCACGAGGTCAAGAGATCAAGACCATCCTGGTCAACATGGTGAAACCCCGTCTCTACTAAAAATACAAAAAATTAGCTGGGCTTGGTGACGCGTGCCTGGAATCCCAGCTACTCAGGAGACTGAGGCAGGAGAATTGCCTGAACCCAGGAGGTGGATGTTGCGGTGAGCCAAGATCGCGCCATTGCACTCCAGCCTGGGAAACAAGAGCGAAACTCCGTCTCAAAAAATAAATAAATAAATCAATAATAAAAAATAAAATGGTATCTGTTTATTTATTATATATAAATATATATCTAATGACTATATATCTACACATCTACATCTATATTTATATATCTCCATGATAGAAGTTGGAAAATACTGAAAACTGTAGAGGAGTTCGGAGAAACAACCTATAATCTCATTATACAGAAATAATTTTCTTCCCTTTTGCTTCTCCACATTTTGGCTTAGATCAAATTTAGAAATGATTTTCTTAACGTTCTTGGTATTGTGTTTTTAGAGTATCAAGATGTTGCTGCATATTCTGATTTTTATGTATAGTTGTGACAGGAACACCCACAAAAATAATTGTTCTAGAAAAGAATTTGTTAACAAATATTTTCTTCCAGGAAGTGGTGTATTAGCGTTTTAAAAGGAATATTTCTGGACGTCAAAGTAGACATTGGGCTTATATCAACAGCTCAATCTTTTTTAAAATACGCTTTATTTTTAGGGCAGTGTAAAGTGAATAGTGAGGCATAGTGGAAAGTACAGAGAGTTCCTACATTGCCACCTCCCCAAATGCACAGCCTCCTCCACTATCAGCCTTCCTCACTAGAGAGGTACCTTTGTTACAATGGATGAACCAACATTGACTTATCACTGTCACCCATCGTTTATAATTGACATTAGGGACCATTCTTGCTGTCGTATATTCAGTGAGTTTTGACAAGGGTGTAATGGCATGTGTCTACCATTATAGTAACACACAGAGTAGTTTCATTGCCCTAAACATCCTCTATGCTCTGCCCATTTATCCTTTCCCACTTTTCAACCCCCAGCAGTCACTGAACGTTTTGATGTCTCTATAGTTTTGCCTTTTCCAGAATGTCATATAGTTGGATTCATATAGTAAGTGGTCATTTGAGATTGGTTTCTTTCACTTAGTAGTATGTATTTGAGTTTCCTCTATGTCTTTTAATGGCTTCATAGCTCACATGCTTTTTTTCTGAAACAAAAGCCACATTCAAAGATTATTGCTTTCATTGCTGAATAATATTCCACTGTGTCGATGTAGAGGTTTGTTTATCCAGGCACTTACGAGTCTATAGTAACCAGTGTGGAGCCTGGGGAAGCCATAAATGGCCTGGTTGTGGCGAAGGCTTGGAGCCTATGTCGGTAGGAGCCATGGAGGTTGGAGGCATTAGATCTTAGAGCCATAGGGGAAGGCCTGGAGCTTGGGTTGGCAGGGTCTGTCCCATAGCCTGTGGCTATAGAAACCTGCCTGGTGTTGAGTTCACTGAATTGTGCCTGGCATTGGAGTTGATGTTGAAGTCAGGTGTTACATTTACTCTCCTCTCTGCACATATATCGTATCTCTTTCCATGCTGCACTACCCAGGTTTAGGGGCGGGGTAATGCAGATAATATAAAACTCTCTTTTATACTCTATTTTATGCCGTTTTTCTTACTTTTCTACTCCACAAACGTGCTATAACCTCTCACCTGGATTCCTTGTCTCTTTTGAAGACACTTTGATGCACGGATGGCTGTTCAAATTGATGTTTCTGTGAAGGAATAAGTGCTGAAAAGTTCTGTTTTGTCATTTTGTCCATGGCATTCTTCTCTGTTAACTGAAAAAATATTTTTACTGAATAACATATTGTTAAAAATTGTCAGACCCTTGGTTTAGCTCTGGAAGTTTCTCCTTTAGAGCAAGTTCCTTTCATAGTTCTCTATAGAAAGACTATAGTTGTAAAATGTTGGTAGAGATGATATTTTGTGTGTAGAATTAAGGACCGATTACACATAAATGTTTAGCGGGCAGTAAACATTTGTGAGTAATCTGTTCTTACACACAAAAAGAAGGTCTATAGCTTTAGGAAAGGGAAAATTATCTAGGTTATTCAGACAATATAAAATTAGTTGAGAAAATTGAAGGAAATGTTTATACTTGAATGAGACCTCATGGAGAAAGACAAAATAAGGAAGCCATGGGAGAATATTTGCATTCTCGGAACCACAAAAGTGAGGAAAGCCAAGAGCACAGCTGGAGTTGCACCAGATCAAGTAGACATTCCATCAGAGCCTGAACTGAGAATGCACCATTCCTAGTCACCTTGATAACAGCCCCATTTTCTGTTAAGAATACCCTATGAGAAAAATCTTGCAAAAATAGTCAGAAAAGGCAGAGTCACATGCGGTTCAGTGTGTTCCACCTTGGCAGACGGTCTTAGGAGGAGTTTTGGAAGGATCGTGCTGCAGGCAATGGATGAGATAATGATGAGAAGTTTTCCAGCTCTGTATAAAAAGGCAAGCGAAATATATGCTTGTGAATTTTTGGCTGCTTTTTTATGCTGTATTTTCAGATCAATTTTATCCCAGTTAATGTGAACATAAACTCTGATTGTTATGGCTATCTGTCGTGGGGTTTCTATTATTTTGTCAGAAATTGTATCAGGAACTTTATATCAATCACTAAATTACACATTTCCAAGCTGCATATGAATTAGGTATTACTATGATCATTTTACAGATGAAGAAGATGAGACTCAGAGCAATACATAAGTTGCCCAAGGTCAGAGAGCAAGTACCAGAAATAAAAGCCAGATAAATCTAATTCCCATATCCTTGCTCTTTCAATGATGTTTCAGAGTTGATTACAAAAAGAATTGTTCTGTGTGCTCAGGATAATTTACTACCTACTAAATTTAACCATAGGGCAGTCTTATAAACAGGGTAGAGTATGCAGTTAAGATAAAATTTGAGAGGAAAAAATTAAATTAAAATAGTACATAACCAATGATCAGAATATTCTCTCAGTATTTTAGAAATTTATGTAAGAATAAACTAGATACTGATAAAAAAGTCACATTCTTCATGCACAAATCTTGTAAGTAGCTACTGTTAAAGAGAGGATACTATTTACCTAGAAGAAAGTGGGGTTGTCAACCACTATATAACCATTCGTGGGGTGAATGTCTTTTTTATTTTAGGCCTCTGGCTGATGGATCCAAGAGGTAGATGCGTGATGTCAAAATATTCTCTTTTATAGGTAATTACAATTTACAATGGAAGATACAGAGGCCACAAGCTAGTAGAGTTGAGTTATATTAACAGAAAACCTTGTTAGAGAAAAGAACCACCTCTCACTATCATGTTCAATGGCAAAGATTAATAGAAGGTACAGCAAAATGGACACACATGCGAGTATACCCACATTGATATTGGAAGTAACTTTTTTCTTATATACTATAAATCATATCCCAGAATATACTCATAATGTGTACACTTATTGGGATATGACAATCAACGTACAAAATATGTACCATATGTACATTGACTGTGATGTACATATGTGTACACAATACAGATGTACAAAAAATGTACATAATCTGTACAATACGTACATTTATATGTACATAATGTGTACACAGTAGGTATGTACATAATGTGTACAATATGTAAATATATTGTAATATTACAATGATTTCATATAATCACAATAGCATATATAATCACAATACACATATAATACATAATATCAATATAAATGTACATATTGCACACATTATATACATTTACATTTATTGTGATATGATATGTACACATGTACATCATGCACACGTGCAGATTTGCGGTATATACACGTGTACATAAGTGTGCACAGTATGTACATATGTACACTACACATATGTTCATATAATGTAGATATGTACCTTCTGTACAGGAGTACACAGTATGTACAATATATACACGTATATACTAGGTACACATATAGGTGTATACCCACTTTGGTAACCGGAGAGATTTCTATCTAATATACTAAATATAAAATCCCAGAATGTAGTCATAGTGTGTACATTTATTGTCGTATTGTGATAAATGTATTAAATAGGCACAATCTGTACATGTACTCTGCTGTACATAGGTGTACACAATGCACATGTACAAAAAATGTACATAATCTGTAAAATATGTACCTATATATTTCTATAATGTGTACACAATGCATAGGTACATAATGTGTACACTATGCCCATTCCTTAAAATATCAGTGATAAAATATATATAATCACAGTAAGATATATAATCACACTAATACATATATGTCGTGTAATATCACCAAAAAGTACGTATTGTACACATTAGGTATGTATTAGGTACATATGTATAGTGCACATATTATGAAAATATATATGTATCATGATAACACCGTATGTACACGTATACAAACATGTGCCTACTATTTAAACAATGTACACATGCAGAAATAGGTGCAAACTACATACCTATGCACAGCAGGCTATTACTACAGTTCTGCTCGTAGCAGCCTCAATGCCCACCCTGGCTGCTTAAAGACCCCCGGCTAGGGGGCTGTACCCACAGCCCCCGCCGGAGGGCCCATAACAGCTACCAGGCCCACGCTGGCTGCTTAGGGACCCCCTGCCTAGGGCGCTGTGCCCACAGCTGCTGGGGCCCGGCTATTTTGAAAATGTGGTGTAATATGATACTGGCAACCATATCACACAGAAATGATAATGTTATTGTGGTTCTTTACATATTAGGCAATAGTTCTAGTTACACATTTGGCATATTGACAAAAATGTCATCCTCACCCCATTGACATTAGAGTTGAAAGCATAGGAGGGTTTCACCCCTTGCAATGTTTAATTCAATATAATTGTTTTCTTGTTTACATTAGTGACCATATCAGAGCACGGTGTACATCTCTTGCAGTATTCAGAATATTTCTCTACGGGCAGCAACATTTTTCTCTCCTTATCTGGATATTAGGAAGAATATCACAGGACCGGCTTACAGCGCCAGTCACATCGTGAGCAATGTCATCTGTAATCCCCTAGTTATTAAGAACAATGTAACGGGGGTCTTGTGTGCTTTTGGAGATATTTGGAGTAATATCCTTTTAGTTTCTGGATATTAGAAACAACACTACAGTGGTGGTGTACACTTCCTGCGATATTAAGAGTATACTCATCCTCTGTCCCTGGGATATTAGGAACTACATCGCAGAAGCGTTGCACTTTGCCTATAATATTGGAACAATCACAGAGTGTACACCTTCTTTCATTGTGAGAGAAATACCTACTTAGGATATGATGGATAATATCACAAAATGGACACACATGGCTATATACCCACTGTGATATTGGAAGTCATTTTTATCTAATATACTAAATGTCATAACCCAGAAAAAACTCATAATGTGAACACTTATTGGGATATTACACTCAATGTACAGTATACTTAACATATGTACATTGACTGTGATGTACATACATGTACACAATACAGATGTACAATAAATGTACATAAACTATCATTTGTACGAATATATGTACAAAATGTGCACACAATAGGTATGCACATAATGTGTACAATATGTACATTTATTGTAATATCACAATGTTATATAATCACAACTGCATATAAAATCACAATACACATGTAATATGTAATATCAATATAAATGTACATATTGCAAACATGTACATATACATTTATTGTGATATGATATGTAAACATGTACATCATGTACCCATTATGTACAGATGCACAATATATGCAAGCGTACATATGTGGGTACAGTATGTACATATGTACACTACACATGTGTACATATAATGTAGATATGTACCTTCTGTACCCGAGTACATTCTATGCACAATATGTACGCATATAAATTATGTACACACCTGGGTGTACAACCACTTTGGTAACCGGAGAAATTTCTATCTAATATACAAAATATAATAATTCAGAATGTAGTAATAGTGTGTACATTTATTGGCACATTGCAATAAATGTATAAAATAGGTACAATCTGTACATTTACCCTGCTGTACATATGTGTACACAGTGCACATGTACAAAAAATGTACATACTCTGTAAAATATGTACCTACATATTTCTATAATGTGTAAACAATGTATAGGTACATAATGTGTACACTATGCACATTCCTTAAAATATCAGTGATAAAATATATATAATCAAAATAACGCATATAATCACAGTAATATATATATATCATGTAATATCACAAAAAAGTACATATTGTTCACAGTAGGTACGCATTAGGTCTATATGTATTGTGCACATATGTACATATAGATTTATCATAACACCATGTGTACACTTATACAAATATGTGTTCATTATTAAAACTATGTACCTGTGCAGAACAGGCTATTACCACAGCCCCCCTCGTAGCAGCCCCAAGGCCCACCCTGGCTGCTTAAAGACCCCCTGGCTAGGGAGCTGTAACCACATTCCCTACCAGAGGGCCCGTAACAGCTCCCAGGCTGACGCTGGCTGCTTAGGGACCCCCTGGCTAGGGCGCTGTGCCCGGCTATTTTGAAAATGTGGTGTAATATGATGCTGGCGACCATATCATATGGAAATGATGTTATCCTGGTTTTTTATATACTAGGCAATAGTTCTAGTTACACCTCTGCCATATTGACAAAAATGTCATCCTCACACCCCTGGACATTAGAATTGAAATCATAAGGGGGTTTCACCCCTTGCAATGTTAAATTCCATAGAATTGTTTTCTTGTTTACATTAGTGACCATATCAGAGCACAGTGTACTCCTCTTGCCGTATTCAGAGGATTTGCCTATGGGCAGCAACATTATTCTCTCGTTCTCTGGATATTAGGAACAATATCACAGGACCGGCGGACAGCCCCAGTCATATCGTGAGTAATGTCATCTGTAATCCCTTAGTTATTAGAAAAAATATCACAGGGGTTCTGTGTGCTTTATCAGATACTTGGAGTAATATCTTTTCCGTTTTTGGATATTAGACACGATACTACAGTGGTGGTGTACACTTCCTGCGATATTCAGGGTATAATAATCTTTTGTCCCCAGGATATTAGGTAGTACATTAAAGAAGCCTTGTACTTTGCCTGTGATATTGGAACAATCACAGAGTGAACACTTGCTTTCAAAATGAGAGTAATACCTACTTAAAATATGATGGATAATATCAAAAAATGGACACACATGGGTGTATACCCACTTTGATATAGAAAGAAATTTTTATCTAATATACTAAAAATCATATATCACAATATACTCATAATGTCTACACTTATTGAGATGTTACAATCAATGTGCAGAATACATACCATATGTACATAGAGTGTTATGTACATATGTGTACACAATACAGATGTACCAAAAACGTACATAATCTGTACAATATGTGCAATTACAGGTACATAATGTGTACACAATAGGTATGTACGAAATGTGTGCAATATGTACATTTATTGTAACATTACAATGATATCATATCACAACAGCATATAAAATCACAATACACAAGTAATACATAATATAAATGTACATATTGCACACATCGTGTACATTTACATTTATTGTGGTATCACGGTGTGTACACATGCACATCATGTACCCATTATGTACACATGTACAAAATATGCACATGTACATATGTGTGAACAGTATGTGCATGTGCACACTATGTACACATAAAGACATATAATGTTGACATGTACATGTTGTACATGAGTACCTAATATGCACAATATGTACATGTGTAAACTATGTACACACCTGGGTGTACACCCACTTTGGTCAATGGAGTAATTTCTAATATGGTAAAAATTATATTTTAGAATGTACTCATAATGTGTACATTTATTGGCATATCACAAGAAATGTATAAAATAGGTACAGTCTGTACATTTACTCTGCTGTGCATAGGTGTACACAATACATATGTAGAAAAAGTGTACATAATCTGTAAAATATGTACCTATATATTTCTATATTGTGTACACAATACATAGGTATATAATGTGTACACTATGCACATTCCTTAAAATATTAGTGATAAAATATATTTAATCACAATAAGATATATAATCACAGTAATATATATTGTCTAATATTACAAAAAAGTACATAGGAGGGACTCAAGATGGCGCTGTGAGAACAACCCAGGATTGGAGCCCGCGTTGAATTCGCAAACGGTGAGTCAGTGCTGCATTTCCAGACTGATCTTTGTTGCCCACAGAACGGGGAAACTCCCAAGTATAAAAAGACGCGGGACGCCAGGCAGTAGGTCTGCCTGGCGAAGCCGGCAGCCGGGGCTGCGGCGGCCGGCCCTACCCAGCAATCCCCACAGGGTGCGCTCGTCCGGGTGCCTTGTTGAACCAGCAACCTGAGACTTGAGAGGGCTGGACTTGAGACTGAACGAGACTTGCACAGTAGCCCAGCCCAGGGGATTGCAGGGACAGATCATTTGGGATACCCAGTGGGACGAACAAAACCGCGATTTCAAACTATCCCGGGCAGACGGTCCGAGACGCTCTGTGGGGGAGGGGCGTCCACCACTACGGAGGCAACCTGCCTTAACTGATATACACGCCCACTGCTGAGGCAGCCAGCCATTGCCGAGGCAACCTGCCCCAACTGAGATACACGCCCACTGCTGACGCAGCCTGCCGTTGCTGAGGCAACACGCTACAACGAAGAGACTCCGCCGCAGGGCGTGGCGGAGACCACAGCAGAGCCGGCAGGAACAGCGCGAATCACACAAGAGCAGGGCAGAGCCTCGGCAGCCAAACAGTGGCTAGCCTGCCTTTGAGCTGGGCAGGACACCTGATCGGACATTCAAAAATAAAGCCCAAACCCCTCAACACAGAGCATTTGAGAAAAAAAAAGGGTTGTTTAATGAGCTGTGTTGCAGCAGAATCAAACATAGCAGCCTAACAGCCCTGAATGAACAACAGAGTGCACAGCTCAGCAATTAAACCCCTATAAAGTACAAACTGTCTCCTCAAGCAGCTCCCTGACCCCTCTATATCCAAAAGACTGTCATTAGGCAGGCATCATCCTGGGACAAAGAGAGCAGAAAAAGAAACTGGTAGCATCCCTCGCTGTGCCACGGCTACTAGAGGTGCACCCCAGACAAGCAGGGTCTGGAGCGGACCTCAACAGTCGTACAGCAAAGGGGCTAGACTGGTAGAAGAAAAACCAAGCAACAGAAATACTTCATCATCAACATTCTGGGTGTCCACTCAGAGACCCAAACGAAAAGTCAGCAACTACGCAGACGGCCAGCGGACAAATCCACAAAGATGGGAAGAAACCAGCGCAAAAAGGAGGAAAAGACCCGAAACCGGAACACATCGCCTCCTAGAAAGGACCAAAACTCCTCACCAGCAAGGGAACAAAGCTGGACGGAGAATGACTGTGACGAAATGACGGAATTAGACTTCAGAAGATGGATAATGAGAAACTTTTGTGAGCTAAAAGATCATGTATTAAATCAATGCAAAAAACTAAGAACCTTGAAAAAAGATTTGAAAAAAAATTCGAGGAAATGATAACAAGAATGGATACCTTAGAGAGGAATATGAATGAATTAAAGGAGCTGAAAAACACAATACGAGAACTTCGCGAAGCAAACGCAAGTTTCAATAGCCGAATTGGCCAAGCAGAAGAAAGAATATCTGAAGTCGAAGACCAACTCAATGAAATAAAACGAGAAACCAAGATCAGAGAAAAAAGCGCAAAAAGGAATGAACAAAGTCTCCAAGAAATGTGGGACTATGTGAAAAGACCTAACCTACGTTTGATAGGTGTACCAGAAGGGGACGAAGAGAATGAATCCCAGCTGGAAAATACTCTTCAGGACATCATCCAGGAAAATTTCCCCCACCTAGCAAGACAGGCCAACACTCAATTGCAGGAAATACAGAGAACACCACAAAGATATTCCGCAAGAAGAGCAACCCCAAGGCACATAATCGTCAGATTCAACAGGGTTGAAATAAAGGAGAGAATACTAAGGGCAGCCAGACAGAAAGGTCAGGTCACCCACAAAGGGAAGCCCATCAGACTCACAGCAGATCTCTCGGCAGAAACACTACAAGCCAGAAGAGAGTGGGGGCCAATATTCAACATTCTTAAAGAAAAGAACTTTCAACCCAGAATTTCATATCCAGCCAAACTGAGCTTCAGAAGTGAAGGAAGAATAAAATCCTTTGCGAACAACCAAGTACTCAGAGATTTTGTCACCACCAGGCCTGCTTTACAAGAGCTCCTAAAAGAGGCACTACACATAGAAAGGATCAATCAGTACCAGCCATTCCAAAATCACACTGAATGCT